TTTCTGAGCTCTGCTGCTGATGATGATGATGATGATGATGAAGAATCTCAGTGAGAGAGCAGCTGACACTTCTTCAGGTGTAGGAGAGGAAACAGACTGATCAATGTGAATTAAAAATACAACATTTTGTTGTGATTCATCAGAGATGACCACAGAGCATATTTCTGTTTCTGCTGACAATGAGGAGGAAAAACTATTTTTAGAATAATCACACAGTTGGGCTGGGCAATTCATCCAAATGTTATCAACACTGACATGACTTCCTGTCTAATCGTTAGTTGGATCAGTTCATTGAACCATACAGGCTGCAACGCACCTGCGAGTAAAAAAACAAGTCTGACTGTACAGGCATGAGAACAGTTAGCTGTGTAATGGAGGTGGCAGTGATTCATCTAGCAGTGTTAGACCATAATTAACAATGGAGGTTCAGAGGGCAAACTCAGTCTTCAGTCAACACACGACAGAACTAACAGAAATGCTGTGGGAACATAGCAGAGTGATGCAGCACCTGTGGCAGTGCTGAGTGTGGTGAGTGTGAGGCTGCAGTCAGGACAGACAGGTGTGCTGAGCATCAGAGCAGGTCAGACAGAAACTACAATTTGAAAATGAAGGCTGCAGCTCCTCCAGAGCCCATCAGAGATCCAGAGCTGAGTCCAGAGACTGGATTTAACCCTCCACCTCCACCTTCACCTTCACCTCCACCTGGGAGCTGTACATTTATTTATTTGGATCCTCATGAGCCATTACCAAGGTAGCATCTACTCTTCCTGCGCTCCACTCAAGTAAACATGACATCATAATGCAAAACAATGCAAATTAAAAACAAGAAAATAATGACAAAAAACAAACAACAATAAAGATAATAACAGCAATGACAAGTACACGCAAGCTATCTCTAAATAGTCAGGAAACATTTGAAAAAACTCAAAAAACAATAGTAGTACCAATAAAATCAGCATTTACAGTGAGTGAAGACTCCTCTCCTGAGCTTTACCACAGTGTCAGACACAGCAGACTGTTACACAATGTTTCTAACAATAATGTCATCATCCTGTTAATGGACTGAGGTAACAGAAGCTGTAAAGAGTCAGTCAATCGGTTTATATTTCACTGATAAGAGACATAGAACCTTTTCTACTTTGCTTTTCCTGTTACAGCAAACGAACACCTGAATGCATCTTCACTACATATTATTAAATTCTGATCCTTTAATCTTAAGCACAAATTAAGAGGTTCACTGTGAGGATGGAGCATCTTGTGTATTAGGTGTACTTGATAAGATATCATTTCATTAATCATTACAGATCAGGTGATCCCACTCAGCACTGTCACATGATCAACTTAAAGGTCCATACAGTCTAAAGGTAGATGTGCATGTGTAGTTTGACTATAAAGCAGGTCTAGGTTCTATATTAATACTGTGAAAGCATCAAAGCCTCAGTCCACAGAGAAATGCACACAGCCTGTATTCAGAAACTGAGCCTTAAAACCAGCCGTCAGGACTTCTGTGACTTTGTGATGACTTTGAGCCAGTCAGAAGAGAGGCTCAGAGCTTCCTCTCTTCTGATTGGCTCACTGACCTGTTGTTACAAGAGCTCCAGAGAGAAGCCTGAGAGAGGAGATGTAAAACTACACTGAGATGGTTTTTGGTTCTTAAAACCACAAATGTTTCTTCTTATGGATCAACACTTCAAATAAAACACTGGAAAGAGGAAAATATGGGACTTAATAATACATGTTTACTGAGAAGCTGAAATGTACATTAAGCACTATTCCCCTCAAGCAGGACCACAGTGGTCCACTACACATCACTACAGAGTACACATATCTCACAGTACATGGACCTGAGTTACAGATATGTTCATTCAACCATGATCAGATACAAAAATACCAGTAACAACCACTCTGTCCTGGAGAAGCCCGGGAACCCTGGATAACAAGTAAACCTGGACCCCTGGATCCCCTGACCCTGACAGTGCGACTCTGAGCCTGGAGAATTCAGAACTTAACACAGTCCAGAAATGTGGACGTTATCCTAGATTCAGATCCACATCTCTAACATGAGACGTAAACCCTCTCTTTTATCGTTATTTGAGCTTTGACCAGTTTGGTTAATTTTAGAGTTGACTATAAAACTCCTCTGCTTCACAGCACCACTTTGAGCCTCTTATCCAAACCTATCTCTGAGGTCACATGACTCGCTCCAGCTGTAAACAGTCATGTCCTCCTGTGTATTTTACTCATTTTGATTGGTGTGTGTTTATGTGGGATGTAGATAGAGGTTTGCCTGGTTCCTACTTGAAACTGGTCTGGGACAGTTATATCTGTCCCGGCTGACCTGAACTCACATTGATAAAAAGACTGTTGCGTAACCACAGCTGCAGTGTGGTGTCATTGAGCACGGGAGCCGCTGGATTCTGCAGCCTAGAAACCTGATCAACACAATAAAGCTCAGAGACAGGGAGCTGAAGATTGCCTATAGCAGACATTGAACACACCACACATGCAAAAGTAAGGTACACTAGTGAATATGTGGCAGTATGGGGAGTGAAATGGGACAGTGGGACCAATTCATTTCCACTAACCCAGAGTCTTTGAAGCCTGAAGTCAATCGCATATTGTTGGAGCTTTCTGAAATATTGATAGTATTTCATCATTTGTATTAAAAATCCATATTTTCCTCTTTTCCTGTTTTATTTGAAGTGTTGATCCATAAGAAGATATATTTGTGGTTTTAAGAACCAAAAACCATCTCAATGTAGTTTTACATCTCCTCTCTCAGGCTTCTCTCTGGAGCTCTAGTGACCACTGAGCCAATCAGAAGAGAGGAGGCTCTGAGCCTCTCTTCTGATTGGTTGACTGTTTGCTGAGTGATCCAATAAAAATACAGAAGATTTAAACACCAAAACCAAATCCCGCAAGGTAGGATGGTGGGTCCAGGTGGGCGGGGCTTGGGGCGTGACTGAGAGTGGTTACTTGCTGTTTTGTTGTGACATCACAAAGTTCGATTAGTCCTGACAGCTCATTTTAAGGCTCAGTTTCTGTATAAAGGCTGTGTGCATTTCTCTGTGGACTGAACGTAGTGTCTCATCTCCAGTTGCAGAAGCTTCTCATATAATATAATGTTTATTGATGCTTTATTTATCACAGGTACTGCTTCCTTTTCTTCATCACAGTGTCTAACTACCTGCTGTACATTTAAACTTACTCTAGTTCTGCTCCAGCACTCAGAACTCTCTGCTCCTTTTAGTGACTTTCACTAACTCAGCAGTTGTTTACATGCTGTTCAGATCAGCTAGTTACTTTAGCTTAGCAGTTAGCGCTAGCTTCTCCCTCTCTCTTTAGCTCGTGTGTCTGGGACCAAAAGATGAACTTGTTCATCACAGTGTGGTGTTGTTGTAACTTCAGTGTAGAGGATTGTGACGTTTATTACAACTTCAGTGATGACTGCTGTCTTACCTCCCACACACGGCTCTGCTTGTTAACCACAGCTGCTCTAGTCTGTGTCCGTCTGTGTACACAGCAGCCTTCGTGTGATAGGCTGTTACTCCTGAATCAGATAGTGCTGTGGGCTGCATAACAGCCAAAGTAGCGCATTTTTAAATTAATATGAAAAAGTAACGATACCTATAATCGTAAAATGCCAAATTTTACCTGCAATAATCAGCCAGGCAGATAATCGGTCGATCCCTAGTCTGAATGGAGCATCACCTCAATGTGCATCACAAACACCACACACAGTCCCGCATCGAGCCCAGGTGGATCGAGTGCTGCTTCTAAAGTGCCAGGTCAACCTGGGTCTAATGAGCCCAGTGGTCCCTGGCACCAATGGTGCAAGGAACCTATTGTTTTTGGAAAGATTATTATTATTCTGGTGTAATAGTTGATTTTTGAGGGCTTCCCCATGTCCAAAAACTCACAAAAGTTTGCACAAACCTCAAGGCTGTCAAAAATCCAAAATGTCAACAGTTATCGGGCTCGAGCGTGACACATCGGTTCTATAGCACCACCTAATAGCTTTCAGTGTTTTTGAACTAGAGGTTCACGAAAACTCACCAAACTTAGCACATGCATCAGACGTGGCTTAACTTGATCACAGTTATGGGCGTTGTCCATGGGTGTGGCAAAATGGCTCGATTAAAATTTCAACAAACCAGCCCACGAAGTACGTTTCACCTAGATGTATGAAAATTGGCAGGCATGTGTGTCCCATGGAGATTGCTTGCAGCTTTAATCCCTTTTATAACTTTCAGATTCAGCTGATCCATCAGGAGATCAAACTACAACTCAAAATAAACATGAAAGATAAAAAAGCACTGGAAGTAAACCTGACCAGAGCATAACTGAGAGAGGTGTAACTCTATAAAGTCTATGTATTTGTTATGATACAGTCGACACAGTACACGTGTTTTAATGTTGACAGATGTTCCTGACCAGTACAGAATGTTTGAGGTGGAGTTCACAATAACCAATAACGATAATATCAGCCAATATTCACTTTCTTTTCATCACCTGTTCCATAAATATTTATTTTTCATTAGATTCCTTCATATTACCATCTGACCCAGAGATGTGAAAGACGGGACATTCACAGTGGAGAGATGAACCCGTCTCTACTGTGGTGAACAAACACAACAGTGACCTCTGTCTTCTCTGTTCTTCACTTTCTTCTCATTTATCAGCTGACATGTGTGACCTGATATCGGCCAATTAATCAGTCTGGTTTGGCTCATTTCGTCCAGTCACCTGACAGACCTGACCCTGATCCTGAACCTGCTCCTGTAGCGCTGACAGCAGCGGGAGACGTGGTGGGTGGATTCATTGATCTGGGATAATATGAAATGACGTAAGCTGTCTACAGACCTGGAGAATACTGAACCTGCAAAACACCTCCTCACCTCTGACTCGCTGATTATGAAATCCCTTACCTGCTGGTTTCTGTTCTCAAACGTAGGCCCAGAGACCTCCAGGTACCTCCAGAAGACCTTAATTGAGCTGCAGGAGACCCTACAACAACACAAACAATATGTCATCTACTGATGCACAGCAGTTCAATAAATACTCTGAGTTACGGCTGCACTGACTCTTTAGCCCTCTATAAACCTCTCTTATGGAAGGGTAAATGTGCTGGACTCGTTCTGGATCCATGTGGACCACACGGCCCCTCTAGTCTCAGGTCGGACAGACTGATTCAGGAAATAGAGAGCGGGACTGAGGCTCTACCACTTGTTTACACGGATGATGTCTGTCCAGGTGTTTTCCGCGGGTCTGGGGTTCTTCTGAGAAATCTGGTTCCTACTGGATCTGACTGGTTCAGATCACAGATTCTGGATCAATAACGTAATAAGCCGCTAACAACCTCTCTGGTCTTTACTGATACAGTATGTGATGACCAGACTGATGCGTCGCCAGCCGCTCCACAGACATGGACGCTGCTGGCGCATCCCGACTGATCAGCAGCACAGACGCTCACCGACAGACGTCGGTCTGATCCGGGGTCGAGGTCGTCGGTGAGCCGATAGTCGGTGCTTATCGTCTGTCCGTGATGGAGGCTGTGCAGAAACTTACCGATGATCCAGAGACAGCTGCAGGGTCTGCACCAAGCTCCCCGCTCCTCAGGCTGACGGTCGCTCGGCCGCTCAGAGTGTGTGTCTCGCGTCTCCGGTCTCAGCCAGCCAGGCCCGCTATCGACAAGAGGAGGGGCTTCCTCTCCTTCTCTTTTTTAAACAAATCTTTATTTGTATTCCGACACCACACAGACGGTGAAAACAGAGCTTCTCCTGTCACTTCAGGCCTGAGCAGCCTGTGGGTTTACATAGAGAAAACACAGCAGATCAGATAAAAGAGTATTAAATATACATTTACAGCAAACTACAGATGGTGAGTGAATCACAGGTTCATCGCAGATACCTGACAGTGAGTATTAAATATTAATATCTTGATACAATCCTTCCCAAATATCGTGATATTGGATATTATTGAATATCAGCCCGAGCCTGCTGACAGTTTTGCAGGGATCTGACGGGAATTAAAGTGATGAGGACAGGAAGATCATTATTGTATTAGTAGGGCTTATGTTCTTTATGGCTGCAGGTTTACTCAAGAAAAACAATGTCAAAATAAAACACATTAGAGGACAACCACATTAATCCAGGTGAGTATCTGCATCTTTTCTGAACAATAGCTGAACAATAGCTCCTTTTGTTGATTCACTTGTGTTTTTATTTCCATTTCTATTGGCTTTGAAGCATATCCTACAAGCTTTTTATTCTACAGTCTGTCAGTCAGTCAGTCAGTCAGCAGATTGTTTCAGAGTTATGCTGTAAATGTGGAACAATACAACAATAAATTCACATAAAAAAAATGAATGTACTTTTGAATACTTAATCATTCTTAAAATCAACTCCAGTACTTTAACTGAGGTAAAAATCATTTGTAGCCTACGGAGTAATATTTGACCAGGAGGATCTGTACTGTGACTCAAGTAATGAAAATGAAGTTGTGTGCTTAGTTCAACTCTGCATTTCACACAACACAGTATCAAAATAAAACACACATTAGAGTCCAGCCACACTAATCCAGGTACATGTGTCTCTGTTTCAGCCTCTGTCCGGTCAAAAAAGCTTCAGCTGAAAACAGCAGCTGGTGTTGCCCGTGGGGAATTTTTGACCTATTTTAATTAATTAATTATTTCATTTATTATTTCTATGTTATTATTTTTTATTATTATTTTTCCATCTCATTTTCCATTAATGTTTTTAATTTTACATCACTGTTTTTAACATGTTTTTATGTTCATTTGATATCTTTTCATGTGACGCACTTGGGGCATGTCATTTCTTTGTTGTAAAGCACTTTGTGCTACATTTATTGTATGAAAGGTGCTAAACAAATAAAGTTTATTATTATTAATTATTATTATCATTATTGCTATTTTTGTTATTATTACTGTTACTATTATTATTATTATTATTACTATTGTTATTGTTATCATTATTGTTATGTCCCTGAGGATTCTGTGTGTCAGTAAGGAAGACTCTCACTTTCTCTGATGGTTCATTTTAATGTCAGTGTATCTGAACACAGTCACCTGACTGATGGTGGTTTTGTCAGAAATTAAATTAAAAAAAAAACTGATTTGATCATCAGCAGCAGTTTGGGGATAACATGTAGTTCATCCTGCTCAGGGCCTGATAACAGGGAAACAGGCTCTGCAGAGCTCAGCTGTCTGTCTGTCTGTCTGTCTGTCTGTCTGTCTGTCTGTCTGTCTGTCTGTCTGTCTGTCTGTCTGTCTGTCTGTCTGTCTGTCTGTCTGTCTGTCTGTCTGTCTCTGAGCTGTGGTCAGAGCTCTCTACTTAAACCACCTCGCAACATCTCAACAGACAATTTACAAACCATGACATTTATTACACATCATAAAAACCCATCAGAACCACAGAGAGACACTTTATTAGGCTATCGTTGCCTCCAATAGGCTGACAGATAATAGACAAATTAAGATTAAACTGACTACAGTGTGAAACATTTGGGTTTCTACATCAGTAACAGATCACTGTGTGAGGCTGTTTCCTACATCGATTCTGAAATCTTGTTTTTGTGGCTGACATTCAGCAGAAACCTCCATAAAGCTCATTACAGCCTTTAGTCTTCGTATGAATCATTTCTTTATCATTTTTATTTGCTGTCTTATGATTGTGTCTTTGACTCTGTGCCAGCACCTGTTGAAATGTCAGTAGCTGAGGAAAGTGAAAACATGCTGCAGGTGTTTGAAGCGTATTTCCCTGGAACTGAGTAGGAATGTCTTACAGTTCAGTCCTGATCTCATCAGACCAGAGAATCTGGTTTCTCTCAGTCTCAGAGTCCTTTAGCTGCTTCTTTACAAACTGTCACTGAGGAGAGGTTTCATCTGGACTCTCTGCCATGAAGCCCAGATCAGTGGAGAGCTGCAGTGATGGTTGTTCTTCTGGAAGTTTCTCCGTCTCCACACAGGAGCTCTGGAGCTCAGAGAGACCATCAGGTTCTTGGTCTCCTCTCTTCTCCCTGACGTCTCAGTTAGTCCAGGTCCAGCTCTAGAGGAGTCCTGTTGGTTCCAGACTTCTTCATGTCAGAATGATGAAGACCGCTGTTCTTCTCAGGAACCAATGCAGCATTTTCCTCTTCTCTTCTTCACCTACCTCACTTCCTTTCCTTTCCTCATCCTTACCACCCCTCGTTTTCCTGATTGAGTTCACCTGGGCACTACAAGGACTTCACTCCGATTCATTTGTTCTGTTTCACCTTTGCATGGAGCGGCAGATTCCGGTAAGAAGAGTTTGTTACTCTTTATTTCTTATACCTTGTCCATGTTAGTCTCTGAGAACTTTATTTATCATTATTTCTTTAAAAAGTACATACAGGACTATTTGTTTTATTGTCTTAGTTTAATCTTTAATCTCCGACCCATGTGTGTTTTTAAAAATACAATTATTTTGAGATTTGAGAATAAACCTTTGTCGGAGGATTGATGTTTCATGGCCTTTTCCTTTCCATGCATCCTACTGAATTAAACTACGACCATGCATTTTCAGTGCATCAGCAATGAAGTTGTGAAGGTAAAATTTTAGATGCAGAATTACTAGATTCCACCAACATTTTCCCCCTGGTAAACCTGGCATTGAAGGCAATCCCATTGAAGTTTGAGTTGAATAAACCTTTGTTGGCATCTTCTACTCTTTAGATTACCAGACCCAGAGGGGCATTATAAAACCGACCACAGACACTGTTCTGAAGTGATACTCGTATCCTCTCTGTCGCACTGAGAATAAGAAATTATTAGTGATATGATAAATATGATCAACAGGTTTCAAAAAAAGGGCACATTATTCACACGTACTATCTCTGCACTCGTTCTATTACAAAACATAAAAAGCCACAAACGTTGGTGTTTTGAATGCGTGATACTGTCATGGCACCACCAGATGGCAGCATCAGATAATTAATGGCAGACGGACCGGAGACCACAGAAGTGGTAGTATTACTGCCACTGTACAAATAACAATCTGGTGGCACCAATTTTAAGTCAGAGTTGAGAAATCTAAAAAAAAAGTAGGTTTTGCATATTTGTTTTTAGACAAAATCCATGAAGCCAATTAATGCAGCTCAATATATGTACCACAGTGCAATTCATTCCCAGAGGCTCAGTGACCCGAGGCCAACGAGAGACGCTGAGACAGAGCACACTGCCAGGATGTGATCCAGCCTCGGATCACAAGGACTTTTTATTCTCTGTCGGCTCCAAAATCTCTCCTGATTAATCATTTTTTCAACAGTGATTAGATGTCAGACTTTAATTTGAGTTACTTTCCACTAAATACACCAGTGCAACTCAGGATAACATGATTTATACTATGTATCTTGGAATGGTAAAATTGTAATTGAATTATTTTAACATTGACTTATCAACATTTGTTATGCTGCAACAGTGAACACTTTTATAGCAAGAAAACAGAAGGTACCGTTACACCGCTACAGGTTCTCTCAGGATGAACTCACAAAAGGGTTTTGGAATTGAATGTTTTTTGTCTGTATTATTCTGAGTAGCCCTCTAATTAATTTTATTATTACATGATCATTAATATATTAATCATTAGATGTGTAATTTCATCTATCTTCATGCCATCTATCCCTCAGGAAGCCTCTGGCGTCTTTCCATTGGAGGTCTTCCAACTGGTAGTAGACCCAGAACACACACTGTGTCTTTATGCATTTCATATAATTGGTCAAGTATGTACATATGGGGCACTGGAGGTAAAAATTCAGTTGAATTTTTATAGCTGATATAGCAATATGTTAATATTTGGCTTTTATAATTAGCTTTTCCAATTTTTATATAAAATTTTTCTCATTTGAGACAAATTCATGTAAAACATGTTAAATGTCATTGTCAACAATGTGTATATGTAAAAAATAAATGTTAAATTTAAATATTAAAGCTCCCATATAGTATATAGGTAGATGTCCATGTGTTCTTTGATTATAAAGCAGGGCTCTATTCCAGAGAGCAGGTTAAACAAACTCTGACTTTAACCCTGAAGTCTGACTTGATGAACTCTGAGATGGGAAACTCTGAAGTTTTCAGTTCCAGAACAGCTGATCTCGACAAGTCAGTCGAGTGGAGAACTCTGAGTATGTTCACTCTGAGTTAACTGCGTGCATGAGGAATATGAAAATCCATCAATGGAGCTCAGATTTAATGATTCACCGTGGCAACAGGTAGAGCAGAGCCTCCATTTTAATCTGGTGGAGCCAGAAAGATTCATATGTGACACGAAAGCATGTTTATCTTTTGATAAAACAGCAAAGAGTGAAAAGAGTCTGAGCTGGAGAAAAGAGTCAATTAGTTCAAACTATAACATTTTATTCAGCGTCGTCCACGAGACCACGTTATTTATCAGTTTTATTTCCCTAACCGATGGAACCTGCTGTTTGGTAGGTTAAATGTTTAAATATATTTATTCAGATGTAACCTGAGGCGGACCAAGTTCTGTTGCAGCGGATGAAGATATAAATGAAACAGATCAGACAGAAGTTTACAAATATAGATGAAAAATCAGAGGTTTATAGATCAATGATTGTAACCTCTGATTCTGACTCAGTAACAGCTTCAAGATTTTGGTGATTTTCAGTTGAAAAAATGTTGAGGTTAAAGCTAAGTGTAAATTTCAGATGTGTACTTTTCATTTAAAATCAACAGCATCAATGACTATACTTGTATTTATAGTACATTTATACAGGTTACAGTTAACTAAAATGCTGTGAAAACACTTTCAGACTATGTGCAGCCTGTATTCAAAACCTCACATTTAAACTACATTTAGTCCAGTTTTTACATGCTAAAGTATTTTCAGCTGCATTACTGTCATCCTCACTCAGAAGTGTCATCATCTACAGCGTCGTATGACAGCCATGATAGGGCTGTTCATCAGTGCGACCAATCAGAACATGAGAAATAACCCTTCAAAGACCAGAGTCATGTGTGTCTAAAGCTTCACACTGATTTTTTTTTTATTTACAGTGATGAATGCAAAGTAAATGTTTCATTGCAGAGGAACTGAGTGACATTACGACAGGTGTCTTAAGTCTCAGAGTTATAAAGACGGACAGGCAGATTTTAATTTGATCTGAGGATGAAGCCTCCATGTGTAATATTGGAGATCTGTCGCCCTCCTCACACTGACTGACTGATCAGAGAAGAGCTCATGTTCGTAAACAAAGGTCTTGGGTAGCCTAACAAACTAAAGAGTAATCGGGATTTTAATCTTCTCCCAAATAACCTTCTTTAAATGAATGGGCTCCGATCCGCAGTTTGACGTAGACAGTATGAATGAGGAAATGACGCGCCATGGTAACCGACTCAGAGTTAAAGTTTCCCTGATCTCAGGGTTAAGAACCACGAGGTTTTCACTAAACCTGCTTTCTGGAATAGACGCCAGCTCTAGCTTCTATATTAATACTGTGAAAGTATCAAAGCCTCAGTTCACAGAGAAATGCACACAGCCTGCATTCAGACACTGAGCCTTACAACCAGCCGTCAGGACTTCTGTGACTCTGTGATGTCACAACAAAGCAGTCACCGCTCTCAGCCATGCCACCAGCCCCGCCCACCTGGACCCACCATCCAACCTTGCAGGATTTAGTTTCTCTGAGTGTTTTACCTGAAATCTGCTATATCTTTATTAGATCACTCAGAAAACAGTCAGCCAATCAGAAGAGAAGCTCAGAGCCTCCTCTCTTCTGATTGGCTCACTGACCTGTTGTTACTAGAGCTCCAGAGAGAAGCCTAAAACTACATTGAGATGGTTTTTGGTTCTTAAAACCACAAATATATCTTCTTATGGATCAACACTGCAAATACAACGCAGGAGAATTGTATAATATGGAGCTTTAACACCATTTTTTCTTCTAGCTGTTTTACTATGCAACGATATCATTGTAATTCTCATGTAAATTTGTCCACCTTGATTTAGTTTCCTTGTCAAATGTGTTAAAATATCTGTCCTAATTATGCAGCGCTCCATTCTGCCACAAAAATTAATAAAATAAAGTTTTAAATGCTTAAAACAACAACAGCCAGAAACAATTTATAAGACTTTTTTTTAAATTTTTATTTGACCTTGTTTTGTTCCATCAACAAAGTTAAAGTACTTTCCTCACGGTCAATAAATAATGCTACATTCATACAATGACTCAGTGAGCCTTTTTTAAAACTCCCTGACAATCTCTACTTGTCGAAATGCCTGTTTTATGTTGAATGTACTAAATGACATCATTTTATTCAGGCAGCAGCTGCTGCCTTGAGTGTCTATGTTTTATGTTTCAAACCTTCAGTTATCTGCAGCACATTGTAGGTCTGATTCTGGGGACAGTAAAGTGTTACACTGCTCTGATCTGAGTCCAGGTCAAGATGAGAGCACCTCAGAATGAGAATGAGCCTGGTCACGTGGAAGCGGAGTGGCGGTCACCTTCCACAGCTCCTGCAGAAAATCATAATAACGTATATTAATGAAAAGCTTACCGTCACCTCTTGGGGAAATTCATCATCTGCGGCTGATCCATCTAAACTGTGCAGGAGTGGGCAGCTACAGGACCTAAATTCAAGTTTCAAGCCAGCACCTGGACAATTCTTAATACCTGCACATGGACACGAGCATGGGCAAGTACAGTCAAAATAGTGAGCAGAAAGCATGTGAACAGTGGCACTAACAATAACACAAGTGTCATATTACCTAAGTAAACCAGAGTTGTTAAAACCTTAAATCTGTTATTTGTTTCAAATCCAAAATGGAAAAAAATGTTTTTGGTGTAAAAAAAAAAACAAAAAAAACAACAAAAACCAAACCAAAAAACGTTTATGTGCTCTTGGCTTTTTTTGGTAAATGATAAAAGGAATTGCCAAAAACCAAAAACCATTTTCATTTTTTGATTGTGACATCAAAAACAGATTTTCTGTTCTGGCTTTGAAACAAATAACAGTTTTAATTTTTTGTTTTGTTTTTGAATTACAGATGAGGTACGGATTACCCGATGACACCCGTAGCCTACTGGACACAAGGTGAGTCGCACATCACTCAAACACCATTCTCAACGTGTGTGAAATTCAGGCTTCAGGTTTCCACGTCACAATTGTGTAAGACGCCTATTGGACCAGGACTAGTTTCCAAACTAGTCTTGATGACACAAATCATGTCTGCAGGTACACGTCTTAAATTCAGATGTCAGGTGAGCACAGAGAAACAGAGACTCTGAACATCCAACAGAAGTAACAACGTCTACAGAGGATGCAACACAGTACACCTGTGTAGGTCACCTGTGTCATGAGCTGGACTCAGGGTTCAGGTTAGAATGAATTCAGGCTTCAAGGTTAAATATAATGAAGTTCGTGAGTGCCTGTCTTACCAGCTGCTCTATTCGTTCATACAGAAGAAACTGTGCAAAGTTAGAAGGAAGCTGTTCCACTCTGAAGCTGCAGCGTCCATCCACCAGGTCCTGGAGCTGGGACAGACAGAGGCTGAAATGGTTGTAGGCCTCACAGGAAACATCCATGTGTCTCAGGGTGAAGTTCATCCTTTGTACAGAGAGACATCAAGACACAGGAGGAGACGTGGTAACTGCAGAGGCTGTGGCTGGAGGTACAACCAACAACACACACAATCACAGCGCGAAAGTGTTTACTTTCTATACGTATATTAATGCTTTGTTAAAATGCTGATTGTTTCACAGCGGCCATCAAACTCTAAACCCCTGCAGAGATAAATGGCAGCGTCTCTGCCTCCTCTCCCTTCATGTTTAACTTACATCATACTTTCACACGAGATGCTGCAGTACAATAAAGGTGCAGCTTTATTGTGGAAAGGTGTGCCACTTTAAATAACTTCTTCCACTGTATATGAGCAGGTGACAGATACATTTTAGCTGATATTTCATAATTCATTTACAAAGTTTAAACAACAGAGCTCTGTCCTGACTCCTATTCTGACTGAACATCAGTATCCTTGCATAACGTCACCTCAGTAACAGTTTCAAACACCAGCGTCCAAACAGGAAGTAAAGAAAGTAACATTTAAGTAAAGGTCCCTCTGTCCAATCACTCTGCTCCTGATGTGATCGTTTTGTCCTCGAGAACAGAGAAGAGAATGTAAAGCTCTTCTAAACACACATATGTTTAAGTCGGCATCAAAAACGAAGCAGAGGGTCAGTGAATCCGTCCGTATTGATCTGTAAGTGATTGATACAGAATCTGTTCTCCACAGCTGTTAGCTTCAATTCATTAAAGTCCTGCAGCACCTGAAGGCAGCAGGACACATGTTAGCACATCTGCAGCCTCTGATTACAAACATATCATCTGACAATTCTCGCAGCTGTGTGACGATGATGATGATGACGACAGGTATCTTCATCACCTGAGAGAAAGGTCCTGGACGTTCAGTTAACCAGCTCAGTTGTTCCCGCAGATCCATGGAACGTGAAGCGCAGCCTGTTACAGTAACTTTAACAAAGGGGCAGACACTTCCTCTTACCTCTTCTCTATGGAGATGAAGATCGTGCAGGCGTGAGTGAAGTTACTGCAGAGTCGGTACAGAGTCCTGAAGAGGCCGTCGGTCAGATCGTCATCGTAGCAGACTGGTGAGACAAAACACGAGTCTGTACACTCTACATATTGGAGGCATAGAAAGTTACAAATAAACTGATGTCCTTTAACTTCTTCCTCTCTGTGCCTGTAGAAACAGAGTCAGTGTGACTGCACACCCAGAGAGATCAGCACGGGTCTGAGAAGTCACACAATAAATTTACAAATGTCAGTGTCACCTGAGATCACCTGAGACCAACACCGAACACCTGGGACCACCACAGACCACCTCAGACCTCCTTAAGATACCTCAGACCACCTTAGAACACCTTCACATCCGCAGGTCATCAGTGCAAACCAGCGCTTCAAAGTACAAAACAGTAGCAGAGTGGTCTCTTTTTTGAGGTCTGGAAGAAAATCTAAACTAGTGCCACTGGCTCTCCTGAGAAGACTGGTCTGGAGGGTCACAAGTAAACGAAACACAGGTCTGCCATGACTCAGAAGCGGCAGGAACCTGGTGTCACTGCCCTCATTCTACAGGAGGTCGCCCTGAGAGAAGAAGACCTGCTCCAAACTCAGCAGCTTCATACTAGTATAAGAGTTATTATGTGGTTGTTTAGTGTAATAAACTCTGCTTAAAGCTTGACTCAGCTTGTTGCTGATCACATGGACAACACATGGAGTATCTGAGCACAGTGACAGCTGGTGTGTCAGCTGGAAAGCTCAGTCCTAGATGCAGCAGGTCTTCCAGCAGAACGATGATCATAAACTAAATTGTACAGTCAAGCTAAAGTGAAGCTTCTGGAGTGATCCTCCTAAAGTCCTGGACTCAGACCTGCTGAGGCAAAGACCACACTACAGCTCTACCAGAAGCAGCTGCCTGAGGTGAAGACAGCTGAGGAAAAGATTTCATTATATTTTCTGGATTTAATTAATTTGTTAAGCTGAATTTGTTTGTGTTTTTGTGATAAGATGAAGATAAGTCGACAGACTCTCCAACAAAATGTCTCCTGACTGGGCCTCAGATGATTATGATGACATTATTATTATATATATTATTTGCCTGTGCTTGTCAGAGGTACAGAAAGACAGGAGGACCTCTCCAGGCCGGTGTCTTCAGGCTTCTGTCTCAGCTCATGAAGCTTGTAAATGAAGCTCTGTGAACTGGAGAAGAGTTGGGTAATATGCTTTTACTCTGATCAGCTCAGTGACCTACCGTCAGCAGCGATGATGAAGCTGGTGTTGTCGTACAGATCAGCTACTTCCTCCTCTGTCCAGCTAAATTCAGCATCGGCATCTACACAAGAGGACGGACAGACATGTGCTATGGTCAGTAGGTGGGTGGTTCTTTTTATACTGGCAAGATGAAGAAGAAGGAGGTCTTTGATGATGCCATCCCCGCTATCCTCCGTGGTAGCCTCACTTTACTCACTGATCTTTAGATGACATCTAGATGTAGTTATTGAGACATAAAGTGCAGCAGCTTAGTTTGGGTAGGTCAGTTACTGACATGTAGCAGAGGCAGATTTGCCCCCTCCCATGTGTGTACATGTACTGAAGTTCACTTCACTTCCTAATTTACATAGGGCTCAAAAAGCCAAGTGGTTCATGTCAAATAGAAAAGGGAAAACTAAACAAATAACTGCAACTGTACATTTCAGTTCCCCTCTCATTGCATATCCTCTGCTGCTGTGTAAACATCTGGGCTGAAAAAGCTCCATCAGGACACCACTGGTTTAATTAAAATAATTAAAATAATTAAAATAAAGGAAAATTGTGAAGATGGTGGTTTAACTTACATTAAGGATCAGTATAATGTGGATCTACTAATATGTATATCTTAAGGATCTTGGTGAAGAAAGAGTTGGTGTTACTCTACGTGTTGTTGTTGTTTGATCCTATTGTCATTAGTAGAATGTCTGCGGGGGGGGTCACAGCGGTGATTAAAACATAAGCAACAAATGGTTAATACATGTGATTTTACAACCATGTCACCATTAATGATATGTCATTTATCTGTATGTGAAGGGCCTCCAACAAGATGAAGCAACGCTCATTATGTTAATCATGATTACGACACATGCGCTCTGCTGAGACAGCAGACGTAACTATGAAGAACACATGAACAAGAACAACAACTCAGGATGGATCATGACTATAAAATGAACTGCTGCATTAATGGATGTATTGTTCTTGCTTTAAGGCTGTTGAGATACTGTTATTTCTTCTTGTACATCCACAACAATACAAGTAGGGTAACATGAATGAATGCATGTTGTGTCATGAACGCATTCAGCATAATTCATGTACTTCTAGCATGAAGTGTTACCACATCATGCCTGGTTGACAGATAGTGTGTGAGGCTGGTGGAGATGATGATCACATCTGGAATCGTTCACTGAGATGATCAGATCACCTCCGTGTGTGTGTGTGTGAATCAGGTTTTAAACCAATTTAAAATATGTCAGAAACCGCCTCTCTGTGTTAGGCTGCTCCACCTGTTCGAGACTGTGATCCAGCCTGTCGCTCTCAATATCACTGACCTTCTCTTATATTCCTGGAAAACCAGCCCTCCTCCTGTACGTAGCTGGGTGGATGAGGTGTTGATAGATAGATAGATAGATATACACTTTATTTATCCCCTAGGGGAAATTCATGTGTCCAGTAGTTCAATTAATAGTCAATTATTATAACAACAACAGTTAATAATAAATAATAAACAATAATTAAATGAGTCCACGTCCTCTGGCTGAGGTGTTGTATAGCCTGATGGCAGTGGGAACAAAGGATCTCCTGAACCTCTCTGTTCTGCAGCGCAGTGAGATGAGACGTTTGCTGCAGCTGTAGCTGCTTCTCTGTCCTGCCAGAATGTTGTGGAGAGGATGGTTGGTATTGTCCAAGATGGCCTCCATCTTACATTGCATGCGTCTCTCCACAACAAACCTGTGTGAGTCCAGAGTCCTGCCAAGCACAGAACCGGCCTTTCTGACCAGCTCGTCCAGTCTCTTCATGTTGGACATGCTGCTGCCCCAGCAGACTGCAGCATAAAAGAGTGTTTGTCTAGTGGCCACTATTGAACTACTGGGTTTACCTGACGCTGCAGAAGCTCAGATACACATATAAATACAATAGTGTTTGACAGCCACTCCTGGACTTTTATAAATATTTCTACACTAGTGTGTCTGTGTGTGTGTGTGTGTGTGTGTGTGTGTGTGTTACCTGTACAGAGGTCATGCTGGAGCCAGTCTAACTGTCTCACTCTCACCTCACCACCTGAGGGGCACAGAGACTTTATTAAGACAGATTCACTGTCATGAGCTTCTCTGGGGTTTTCATTGTTTTTAATAGGAATAGAAGAAAATATATAAATAAACAATCAGCAAATCATTATTCAATTCACTGTGAAATCAATAAAACAGAAATAAATAAAAGCTTCTGCAAATAATAAGGAGACAGTAACTGAAGGAGCCATGTGTTTGAGTTGCGTGGTACAGGTGTGATGTAAGGCAGAGGGTGTCCAGAGCGCAGTAAATACAAGTGTTGCTCACTGTAAGGAAGCAAGTTTTTGACTGTTCTCAGACAACTTTTTGGCTGTTTTTTTGTTTAACTTTATGAACAAATCTTATCGGACGTTATGGACATTGCAGATTATGGACACCAGGAAATAAACACATCGTGATACAAAGCACTGGTAAGGACTGGATATCATCAAAGATCCTCTATAATCAAAGATGACACATTACAGGCAACGGCAATGGTATGAAATGGTCTACACTTCCTGTCTCCTAAGTGGGCGTGGTCATGATTGCTTGTTCATGTCAAAACATAACAACAATACAATACAACACTAGATNAATAATAAGGAGACAGTAACTGAAGGAGCCATGTGTTTGAGTTGCGTGGTACAGGTGTGATGTAAGGCAGAGGGTGTCGCAGTAAATACAAGTGTTGCTCATTGTAAGGAAGCAAACAGTTTTTGACTGTTCTCAGACAACTTTGTGGCTGTTTTTTTGTTTAACTTTATGAACAAATCTTATCAGACGTTATGGACATTGCAGATTATGGACACCAGGAAATAAACACATCGTGATACAAAGCACTGGTAAGGACTGGATATCATCAAAGATCCTCTATAATCAAAGATGACACATTACAGGCAACGGCAATGGTATGAAATGGTCTACACTTCCTGTCTCCTAAGTGGGCGTGGTCATGATTGCTTGTTCATGTCAAAACATAACAACAATACAATACAACACTGGATACAGTTTGAATTTACACCTGCTAGCTTATATCTGATTAACCCAGCAACCCAGGTCTAAAAACTAAAAAAGTTCATTTTCTCCTGATCTGTCTGAAAAATGGCATTTTAATAAGATCTGTGGCTTGAGAAAAACTGATCCAGTATTTATTTCAGTGACTATGAGGCTAAAGAATCATAATGTGTGATCAGGTTCACTTCTCCCATTGGAGTGAACAGACTCAGACCTGCTGCTGGTCTCCTGAAGGGGCCGGAGGCGGAGAAACCCTCGTGACACAGATACTGTCTCTGATATCATTATTCCGAGGACACATCTAAACAATCAGAGTTTGCGTGAGCAGCCGGTAGCGGCTAAAGTGTGGGACTTAGTCACTACAGTAACAGTAAATAGATTTAGATTGGCTCTCTTTCTTGTCTATATATTTTCTGTTATATGTTATATATTTTTTCATATATAAAAACAGATGAAAAATAGATTCCCAGGCTGACAGTGTTCTCTGCATCAGTGGGAAATAACTGAGGAGGAGATGAGGAGTAATCTGACGACATCATCTCACCTGCAGACTCCATCATGTGTCTGTTTAATGCCACATTTCTCTTGCACATGCTCAGAAGGTCTTCTCCCACATCTGAAAAACAAAACAAGCTCTTTCAGCAAAGGAGACAAACAGTAAAGTGTCTACATGAGATCCGTCTCTTGGTTCTGTCACACATGTTCAGAATAGAGTGCAGAGGAGCAGTGAATTCAGAGCAGAGCTCCTCGTTCCTCCACTGTCAGGATGCTTGGACATGATGGATCACTGGCTAAGATCAAAGCTAATGCTAAGGCTACTACACCGATTCCATCGGAATACATCTGAATTTAGCAACTGAGGTTTGTGTGACTGAACTCGAGTGTTTAGGATCAGCAAAAAGATCCACTGACGATCTTCTGCGCTTTCAACAGTGCCTGACGGTCCTGATGCAGCTCCATTAACTGATGAAGACCATGAGATGCTGTTGAAAGCTCAAGTTGATTCAGTTGTAATCACAGTTGTTTAATTCATATTAAAATATTCAGAGACACTGAAGACACGCAGCAGCCGCTCGGTGTCAGTTTTAATCAGGACGTCTGCCCGATGGCATCATACCTGTGCAGTACACTGTTTTGGCTATGGTTGCCATGACGATGCTGGTTATGCCTGTTCCCGCCCCCAGCTCGAGCACAGTAGCTCCTCTGAACATGACTGGCTCAGAGAGGATGAAGTCAGCCAGGAGGACCGCCCCTCGCCACACCTGGTTCAGGTAAAAGAGACATGAAGACCAGCACCTACACAAACCAAGTCCTGATGAGAAAACCACTGCACGTCACGTGACACAGGAAGTAGGAGGGCTCATGGTGATTGGAGGAGCAACTGACGGACAGAACAGAGTGAATTTTACTGACCTGTTTACCGACATCCTCCAGGGGCGTGGCCATGGTGTGCTCTGCAGGTGGGTTAGATTAATACATTAAACACACAGTGTCTGAAATCACGCTAATAGCGGCTAAATCATTCAGAAAGTCTTCAGACCCTTCACTGTCTTCACGTGTCGTTATGATGCAGCCTCAGGATAAAATCATTTAAATCTACATTCAAATCTACACTCAGTATCCCATAATGACAAAGTGAAAACAGAATTTTAGAAATCTTTGCACATGTATTAAAAAGTAAAAAGTGAAAATCTCACATTGACATACTGTAAGAATTCAGACCCGTTTCTATGACACTTGATGTTTAGCTCAGCTGCCTCTCATTTCTCTGGATCATCTGAGATGTTTCTTATTACATTTAATGTTTAACATTATTTTCTACAGCATCATCAAATATAATAATTTCATTTTAACAATGGTGCTTATAATTAACAACTTGGCCTCTTTCACATGAACAAGCTCGTAGCCGGATAAGAAAACCCAGAGTTAACTGAGCCAGTTAATATCAAGCTTCATGATACAGTTATCAGGACAGATGATGTTAGGTTCTGTTTTTTTAGACACAAAATCAACTTTTTATCCAGTTTTAAGCCACATTTTAATGATTCACCATTTACATCTTGGTTGTTTTTAATTACATATTTTAACCAGATGAAGGATTTTAGTCATCAGATGTCTGGAGCGTAAGTTATCAGAAACAAGCCGAGCAGACTTAAGTGGCAGCTCGGCTCTAAACCCCTCTGAGATCTCCTGTTTCCACTGAACACTGTTGGAGAAATACTGATTCATTGTGAAACTGCTTCAATTAGTGTTTTTAATATTCAGGATATTCCTCTGTCTCGACACAGAAGCTTCTTATGTAAATGAGTGTTCATAGCAGGACTCTGACCTAATCTTCTTTACACAGAAACACTGAGCTCAGCACACCAGACACTACCCTATACCCTCAGATGCATGCTGGGATAGGGTTGGAGCTTATGAAATGAAATAAGTAGCAGCAGTATATATACAGGTGTAGACACACGCATATATATATATATATATATATATATATATAATAATTCTATGGTTAAATGACAAGAGCACCAACACAGTAACACCTACATTGATTGAATGAGTTTCCTGTTCCTGTATGGATATTTAATCTGTGTTAAAACAGTGGTCAGAGGGAACACTGCTCTGTTTTGAAATGCTTAAAGAGAAACACCTATTAGAAAAGCGATCATTTCATGTATATAAGGATCTGTCACATCTTTCTGTCGAACACATTCGACCTCACACATCAAGGCAAAATGGGAGGAGAAAGGGGGGATGATTATATCTGAGGAAGAATGGACAAGAATATGGAAGTACCAATGGAAGTGTACCAGCTCACAGAAATGGAGGGAGTTTAGCTGGAACAACCTGTGTAACCTGGGAATGCCCTGTCATCAAAATACACCAGGCACTACAAGACATTTTTAAATGTGAAAGGTTAAGACGATATATTTATGATATATATCTCAAGAATGGTCCAAAAGAGATATATATTTAATGAATATACTGTTGGTGGCTGGTAAAAAGAATCTTACCAGGAAGTGGTTTTCACAGGAGAGCCCAACTGTAAATGTGTGGATGGAAATTACAACGGGCATATTGGAAAGAATGCATTAACTATGTAATGCCCTATAGGCCTGATTTTATTTTCACAAAACAGAGAAAAGTTCACTCCCTACCTGTTCATGGTTCGTTTTCATTGTCTTTTTTTCTCTTTATATAAGTATATTTATACGAGTATGTCATACAAATTCAGTTTAAAATCTGAGATACACTGGATGGAAATATCTGTTTGATGCTGAATGTCAATAAAAAAATAAATAAAAAAAGTTTGTTGAAGTGAAACACCTGTGGCGAGACAGTCATGAAGACCAAGATGATGATAAAATGATAAAAACATGATGAAATCTTACCAATCCTGATCATATCTTTGAAGCCCTCGTCATCTTCATTATCCGTGCTCTCCTCTTCTTCCTCCTGTCCAGGGTCGGACTGTTTGAGAATGACGGGACAGACCACGTCTCGGCCGCTGTCCTCCACAGGGTTTCTCCTCGGTCTGGGAATAACACCAACAGTTGTGTATCGGTTAGCGTATAACCTAATGTGTGCTTCATGTGTTGTGTATACGTATCTGTGTGTTTCTGTGTGGTACATGAACAGTGAAAACTATAACGCAGTCAGAGCCCTGGTCTGGCTTCACACCCCCACCGTGTTTTAACAGCTGATCCATACCTGTGTGTGACATCCAGGTCTCCGTCCTTATCCAGGCTCGGCTCCACACTTCCTCCCGCTCCTTCCTCCCCAGCTTCTTCTTTGGTGACATCTGTGTCTTGCTCCCCGTCTTCCCTCACATCATCGTGTTTCTCTTCCTCTACACTTTTCCGTGGATCACTGTTGTCGTCATGCCTTTCAACACCTGACAAGATCCTGAATTTGGAGATGAAGACTGGATGAAGACAAACAGAGGCAGCATTAAAAATCTGATTTCTTCCGGCGGCACAGATACTACACACTGATTTTATCATTCTTTGTCTTTGCAACTTTTATCGAGTTAAAAAAATAAAGCTTTCAAATGTCCTGTTAATTTGCTCTTCTCTTTTATGTCATTATCAAACTCAAACTTCGGATTTTTTTGAACGCTTAAATGATTCCTTTCCATGGTAAAGTTTATAATAACAGTGAAATATTGTATTATTGTTTTAAAAAATGATCCTGTCCAGATAATATCAGAACAAAAGTTACTATTCAAGATGTGTGAATACTTTTGGCAGATAAAAAAGTCCTAGAGAGAGAAACAGTTGATTTTCTTCTAACACATGAACATGTGACACACACCCGGCTGTCCAACATGGTTGAGGCGTGTCATAAGGTGGCGTGCATTAGGCAGGAACATGTGAACGTCTGACAGCACGGTATCATGATGAAAAGTGATCTGGTCCATGGCTGATGGTTCATGGTCCCCCCCAATGATCCTGAGACACACAGGCTGACTGTTACTAACCACACATAGAAATACATACATATATAACACACAAGTCTTTTTTACTCCATGTCTTCTTCTTTCTCGTCAAAGTCTGGTGATTACATTACCCATAATGCAACTAAACTTCCTACAGTTTGTTTGCAGATTGAGGTGTGATATGCTGGTGTTTTAATTTGAAATCCAATCTACATATTGAACATGGGAAAAAAAAAAAAAAAAAAAAAAAAAACTAAAATAGGAAGCAGCGTTCCCCGATGGAGCCAGGGGATGAGGGGAAGTAACAAATGTAAAAATGTGTTCTGGGAGGAAAGAACGATCAGGAAGCAAAACAATGTGTGAGGGAAAAACCAATGACTTTTATAATTAAACTCAAAGACAACTAAATCACCGAAAAAGGTCACTAAAAATGCTGGTTGCAAATAACTGAGAAACAATAAACAAACAGGATATTTGCAATACAACAGTAAGGATGAATCAGAGAACAAAAGAAAACAGGTAATCAGGACACCAAGCACCCTCCTTCACAGCAAGGAGTAAGAGAGAGAGACAGAGAGAGAGAGAGAGAGAGAGAGAGAGAGAGAGACAGACACACACAGGCCCACTGGCCTTGACTCAGCTCCCACTCTCCACTAAAATATCTCCAGCTAATTTGTAAGTGAGTGCAGCTCCCATTTGGAGGAGGAGTGATACCTGGAGAGAGAGAGAGAGAGCAGCACACCGTACAACGCCACTAGGGTCGTAACATAGGATTTAACAATTAATCAAATTATCATCTAAATCTTACAATGGAATATCTGGGCCATACTGAGGAAAAAAATGTGAAGTTCTACTTTCTTTCACAAATAAGGAGAAACTTCATCTTTTGACTCATCATCATCATCATCATCATCATCATCATCATCATCAGGACATTAAAAAGACTGTGAAGAAACTGAGTCTATTCTACTGTTAGACAGACAATCAGCAGCTGCTATACATAATATTATGACTTTAATCTCAAAATTTCAGATTTCTTTTTTTCCCTTAATGTGGCCCTAATACTCCGTCATAAAATCTCAATTGCAATATACAAATCACAGGAACTGAAACTGAAAATTGATCACTCTAACTGAAAACATGACTTATATCACAATCACAATATCTGCCAAAATAGTGGCAACATTTCTTGCCCTAATCTAAAATCTAAAATGATCTGCAACAGATGAGGCTTGTGTTCCAGCACAGGGTTAGTTATAAATGACTCTGGTCCATTTCCCTGTTGGCCAATTTGATTTTGTTTATTGTTAATTACAGACAAAAGAAACTAATTGAAACTGTTGTGATAATCTCAACATCACACAGGCAGAAAGACTGTGGATAAGATTTTGGATGTTAGAAAACACATCTGTCTGCAGGAACATTAAACATCTGAAGAAAGTGAAACATCTTATATTACTGCAAAGATTATATGGGACCAGGGTCAAAGACAAAATGACTGTAAATATAATCTAAAAACTGAGAAAGTGGTTTCTTGGGTTTTTTTTTTTACATGACATGAGCTGAAAGTTGTTCTCCGTTTGTTATAAAGCAGAGATTCACTGTCAGCAGGTGCGGTGTAGTCCGCATTCTAAAACTTTACCGTTACACCTCCACGGATAAAAGTTATCACGGAGAACAGGCCAGAACACTGGGAGCCGGTAACTGTTCCCGCCAAACTCCTGTAGGACAGACCCGGCTAAACCCCGAACAGCGCAGCTAAGGTTTTCATCATGCTTTCATTAATAACGACGGCACTTACCGTGCATGTATCAAATGAACGAAGCACGCCCCCACCGCTCAGCTGCCACTGCCACTCAACATCAAAATAGTGCAACGTCAAAACCTGTCCGGGCTGCAACCGTTAAGATTCGGCTTCTGTTCCGCCAGGAAATGAGACGGTGGTCTGTCCCTAGCTACTCTGGCTACAGGCTCCAATCATGGATGTATTATGTATTATAAGACTATAATATATATACGGACGTACGAGACGGAGCGGTTCATCTCACTCAACAATAAGAAACTCACACTCACACTTTCACACACTTTCATAGAAGCATGCACCACCTCCACACACAGTCACTTTAAAGTCTATCTTATTATGCATGTTTGACCAATTAATAAGCAAGTTAATTAATGTTAATTACATGACTGACAAAAAACACTTGTGAGAATGTGGCTTTGCTCAGTATATGTGGGTTTGATACTGAGGCTAGTTACTACTCTGCAGATTAAACATTAAAACACATACAGTGTGATAAGTCCATAAAGTGAACTGTTAAAGAACAAATGTTTCCCCGTGTCATGGTGAAGATGTTTGAGTTTTCCCTCCAAACTGCTCAGATGGTTTCGTTTAAATATTGTTAAAGGCTCAGAGAGGTTTTTTAATCCTAAATACAATCACCAGAGGTAAAACGCTAATGCTAGGCTATAAACCAAGTACACCACAGTCACATGACTTCAACGTCAGCACAAAACTTCAACTTGTAGTTTGATTCAGCTCTGACGTCTTCTATGAAAGCCATTCCTCTTACAAACTCAGTAACAGTTTGTATAAACACAACGAGTCTGTAAAGGTAAAGGACTGGAGAATAGATCGGTTTCATGTTCGACTCTGTAGTCTCATTTAGACACTTGTTAGCAACCGGCCTTTTTAAACAGACGTAAAAGCTTCAAGAGATCAGGATGAGGGTATTTACTGATGTACTTTATGTCATAAAATAAAATGTGAAAATGTTTTCAGCTTCATCACCTTCATAAAACCCGTGACTCTAACCTCTCTTATGTTAGTATCAGGTCACACGGTGCAGCAGCTGGTGAACAGGACGTTCAGGCAGCAGTCTTTAAGGATTCGACTGCTCAGGATCATGAGGGCGTTAGACCGGGACAAGGCAATGGTAGAGGAGAGGGAGCAAAAGAGGAGGGTGAGAAAGACAAAGACGTGCAGAGAGGTAAACAGAAAAAGAAAGAGACGGTCTAAGTCTGTTTACTTGCGGGCAAGAAAAGTGTTAATGGTTAATGGTCAAGGTTAGTGGTTAAGGTTAGTGAAAGGTCAGGAAGAGAACATAATCCCTGTGGTACCAAAGTCAGATGCTATGCACACCTGAACACCATCACATCCCAACTTCCTCCCTAAAAGGATTTGTGGTGGGGGTTGTGAATTCGTCTGAACTTTTAAATGCTACCCAGCGCAAGTCACCTTTCAGTTGCTAGGGCGTTTCAGGCAGTTGCTGTTGGCAGGTGGTTGCTACATACAAACGATGAAGGACAGTACCTGATCACAAGAGGTCATTTGCATCGGAAAATGTTAAATTATCATATCTGCAGCTTGAAAAGCCTTTCTTGGGCCGTCCTCCACTGAGAGTTTATCCGTCTTAAAACTTTCCTTCCTCCGCCCGACAATTCTGCAGTCGAGGTCAGTCGCTCCAGGTTTTACTGATACACGTGTCTGTGAATAGTCAGAACAAAGCGCTGCCTCCTCGTCCTCATCCTCTAATGAATCTGGACACTCCTTGCTGCCTCATCGAACTCCTCTCAAACCGTAACATTGGCCTCTTCAACCTCAAGGCTTCCTCCAACGCTGGTGTCCACTACCAGTGTCTTCTGGCCACATCTCTGAGAAGACACCTCCACAGTGAAAAGTGTTGAAATGGCTCGCTACGACTTCCTGTCCTCCACGTTCTTTAGTGTTCAAAGACGACCAATCACACCACATTATTGATTGGGGCTTTCACGTCTCTAATACCATGGCTCCATTGTGTTTAAACAATTGGTATCAGTATTGTCCCTAACTGGAATGCTATATTTGCCCTGATTTACAGCTATTTTTAATTTCTCCAATGTGAAAAACATAATGAGAACAGATTTAAAAGAAAAAATACCAGAAAATGCTTATTTTGGTGGAATTGTAATTTAAAAGGTTTTTAAAAAAACAGATATTTAATGTATTCCATTGATGCCTGGGAAATTTAGACTCCATGTTGCAATTTCCTTTTAAAAGTTTATTTTTCTTTTTTTCAAAAAAACAAATTTATTTTTGTGAGTTCTGCTCCTCTGCTACTGGGAAAAAGTAGTCTGATAATAGTGATGATGATGATGATGATGATGATGATGATGATGATGATGATGATGATGATGATGATGATGATGACGATGATGATGATGAAAAAAAGTTTTACAGCAGTGGAAATTAATTAACTGTTAGTGTTAGTGACAGTTTTGTGTTTGGCTCGTTTCCACAGTTGTTGTTCTGACAAAGTGTAGAAGAAACAAACTGCTGGCTGCTTGGCTTGACGTACTGAACACTAACAGGCTCCATCTAAAGCATGTCAGAGTTTTTACTGTGTCGTAACATGGAGTTTTTACAGGGACAAAAAATCCGGGGCCCCGATTCAGGGGCTGGATCTTTTGCAGGACGCTGTCCATGAAGGCGTGGCTCTTCGTAACGTTCGTAGACCGTGGAGGCCAAACTTAAATGAGACGGTCTGGTCTATGGTCTACATCAGCGCTTCGCCACCATGCATGCTGATAGCAGTTACGTAAAGCTAGTTAGCGTACATGACTTTGTGACGATTGGCCTAAGTTTCTCATTGTAATGTTTTACAGGATCTTTTTTTTTCACCACAGTGGCAGATATAGACTTCCACAGTAAAGAAAACTGTGTGAAAAGTTTGGAAAAAGTGAATTCAGTGTAGAGAAAAGTGTGTTTCTGGTTGGAAAAAACAAATATTTCTTACTGGAAAGTCAATCAAATGACCTCAAAGAAACATAAAGATATAAAATGAGTATGACCAGACAGAAAATGACTAGAAATAGACACAAAAAGTAAAAGTAGATGCAAAATAACCATTTGCTCTAAAACATACTATAAAAAATGCTCCTTTCTGTAAATACAGTACATACAATAAAGAAACTCTCTTCTTTTTGTTATAATGGTAATTGTGGCTTTTGCTAAATAAATAAACAATGATCACAAACAATAAAGAAAAGACAATAAAGATTAAAAACATTAGGGAAGAACATAATGTGAAGCTGCCTATTGATGGTGTTTTTAAAGGAGAACAGTGGAATGAGTGACGATGTGTTTCTGTGGGGAGACCACAGCTGATCCATGTCGTTTGGTTGCATTTGTGCGTTTTGGCCGGGAGTGTAACTGTTGTAATGTTTCGAGGTCACTTCAGGTTAAACTCTGGATTTTCAGTCCTACGATGGTGGTTCACTTGCTACCAGGGTAAATCACCATGGTAACTGATGCTGAACTCCTAACCTGCTCCGGGGGATCAGATCAAATGTGATGTAAAAAAGTTTTAAGTTATTTCATTAGTATTATTTTGTAATTTATTGTAAGTAGGCTAGTAGATGTAGTATTTGTATAATAACTCAAGAATAAAAAGCTCTTAAGGGCAAAGATACCACTGCAGGTACAGGGACAGACTGATACCAACTGTTCAAACACACTGAAGAGATGGTATTAGTGAAGTGAAAGGCCTAATCAATAATGTGTGGGGGAGTGGTTGTCTTTGTAAGGAGTGGAAACTGCTGTAATAATCCCAATTTTGAAACCTCATCGCCCTGACCACAGAATAATGTAAAATAAGGTAATATAAGATACTGGAATAAAGGGGGGGTTACTTTGTGCCATTTCAGAACATGATGTTTTACTGCAGTTCTATATACCCAACACTAAAGGATCACTTCTCCCCGAATACAAAAATAAAATCAAAATATTTTCTCACTTACTCACTTTTTTGACATTATATACGGTGATCAATCAACTGACAGCCTGGAGCCCCGGGGTCAGCTGGTCATGTAGTCTTCTGGTTGGGCTGAGGTTGTCAGAGCAGCAGGTCTGAATGATGAGCTACAGCGAGTGAGTGAGGTTTTACATTAAGAGACTGAGAGCCAGAGAACATCAGACACACTGCACTGCTCCTCATTTATATCATCGGTTTTTAATGAGGAACAAAGAGGACAGGTGAGGAAGAAGAAGACAGAAGGTTACTGAGAAGCACAAGATCTTCTACATGACATGACTACAGGTGTCTACAGGTGTCTACAGGTGACTACAGGTGTCTACAGGTGACTACAGGTGACTGCAGGTCACTACAGGTGACTGCAGGTCTCTATAAGTGATTACATGTGTCTACAGGTGACTACAGGTGTGATAACGGGTGTCTACAGGTGTCTACAGGTATGATAAAAGGTGTCTACAGGTGTCTACAGGTAACTGTGGCTCATGTAGTAAAGGTCAGTATGGACGTAAAGGGGGAATTGCAGCGGCTATAGATAGATTAAAAAGAATGGTCAAAACTTAGGCAGCAGAGACCGAGAGATCCCAACGTTCAGTTCTGGATCAAAACACTGAATCCTACATTTCCCATAATGCAACTCAATTGGTCTTTCATTAGACATTTATTAAACTTGACATCGTAGTCATGTCACTTGAGTAATTTTCTCAGACGTGACAAAGTTTCTCTAGAAACACACAGCACATCAAACAGCTGTCTGCACACGCTCAGCAGAAACCAGAGGAGAAAATCAAAACACCCCAAACATTCATCTGACAGAGAGACACGTCCAGTGATCCTTCAGGACTGTATTGATTATTGATTCCTGACACACATTCTTCCATCACATCCTGGAGGTGAACAGCGACAACCTACACACACGCACACACACACGCACACACACAGGCACACATACACGCACACACACACGCAAGAGTGTTGGTCTGAGGAAATGATTGACAGGTGGGCATTTCACTGTGTGTGCGTGTGCGTGTTACCTGACAGTGCCATAGCCAGCTGCAACTCCTCTTTGAGAAGTTCCAGGAGCTCAATAACTCCCTGTTCCCCCTGGAGACACACACACACACACACACACACACACACACACACACACACACACACACACACACACACACACACACACAGCCACCACACACACACACACACACACAAGTTTTTCAGAAACCAGTTTCAGTCCTGAACACATAAATACAGGAATCCGTTGTGAGTGGGCTAGTAGCTGTGCGGGTGACTGGGGGAGTCTCTGACCCCCTCCTGACTGAGTCTAATGAGAGTGTGGTTCTTCACCTGACAGGCGAGGCCCCACAGCACCGGTCGACCGATGAAGACGGCCTTGGCCCCCAGAGCTAAGGCCTTCAGGACGTCCGTCCCTCGCCTCACTCCTCCGTCCAAGTAGACGTCACAGCGACCCTGCACTGCCTGCACCACCTCCTCTAACACATCCAGCTACACACAAACACACACACATTTACTAGCTGCCAATCAAAACAGCCACAAGGCTCAGCAGTAATCATTCCTGATATAGACATACAGTATATAGATTATAGATACTGTATTATCACAATATGTTTGATTTTTTCTGGAATAGTATCATAGTATCAGAGATGGAGTCAGATTTGTTATTTCCTAAAGAACAACACACACACACACACACACACACACACACACACACACACACACACACACAGACCGTAGCAGGAACTCCATCCAGTTGTCGAGCGCCATGATTGGACACCAGGATGCCACTGACTCCATGGTTCACAGCCTGGACAGCATCCTCACCTGACCACACACACAAACACACACACACACACACACACACACACACACAGACACACACACACACACACACACACACAGTCAGGCACATAATATCAATGTGTTTCTAAAAACAGGTTAAAAACAAATTTGGCTCCATTTTGGTGTGTGTGTGTGTGTGTGTGTGTGTGTGTACCATTCAATACTCCCTTCACGATCACAGGCAGATGTGTGTGTTTCTTCAGCCAGCTGATGTCTTCCCAGCAGAGAGTGGGGTCAATGGCTTTGGCAACATAAACAGCCAAACCACTGTCGTTTCCATAGTTACCCTCAGAGAAAGCCAGGGAGGCTGTGGAGAAGTTAGACATACTGAGGACACACACAGACACACACACACACACAGACACACACAGACACACACAGACACACACACACACACAGACACACACAGACACACAGACACACACAGACACACAGTGAAGGGTTAGCGTGGTCTCCATGATGGTATTTGGGAGATGTTGCTGTTGTGTTTGGTTCCTACCTCAGGTGTGGGGGCAGTTTGAAGCGGTTGCGCATGTCATCCCATCTCCTCCCCAGGTATGGTGTATCCACGGTAACAAAGATAGCCTTATAGCCCGCCTCCTCTGCACGGCGTACCAATGACAGTGTGAGCTCTCGGTCTTTGTAGATATAGAGCTGCAGCCACAGGACGCCCCCCGCATGCGGTGAGGCTGTCATCGCTGACATCACTTCCTCTATGGTGGAGGTGGCCCAGGAGCTCAGCATCATCCCTGTTCCCACTGCTCGGCATGCTGGGTAGCCACAGTATTAGTGGTATTATTATTAGTGTATATATATTTGTGTATACAGTATAAAACAAATGCAGATGAGTCCAGACATCCAGCATCTCTGAGTCCAAGAGGACGTCTGATCATAAACTGTCCTCTGCGAGGAGAAACCCTCTATGGCTGTGGTTCCAACCTTTTCCACCTCATGACCTGCTTGGAAATCTCAAAAATACAATACAAATGCCAAATAAAGCCTCCTCAGCGCACTTGTTATTTTAATAATGATCAAACATTCAGGACTGAACTGAAATATATATATATATATATTCAATTGTATCTTTTCACCAAAATTGTATGATTTTGCACATGATTTGTGCAATACCTTTGCAGCCCACCAGTGGGCCCTGGCTCACAGGTTTACACTTCACACTTCAAACAGGAAATTAAACCACAGTCTAGTTTACACAGATGTGGTGTTGTAACAGTCTTTACAGTATGTGTGTGAACATGTAAACTGGAGTGTACATACAGAGGCTTGGTGGAGATGTTGAGCTTTGATGTGGTGATTGTGATCCACTGTGATGCTGCTGTGCTCACTCTGTGAAGGCCTTGAACAATCTGAACTCTGTGTGGAACCAACTATAAGAACTGTATCCTAGGTTCTACAGTTTCACTCAGGAGTTCCACATGTCTGTTGTTCCCTCTCTCTCTCTCTCTTCTCCTGATGCTGTTGGTTGTTCTGACACGTTCTAATGTTCTAATGTTGCAAAAACACTGATCTTACAAAGGAGCACACATAAAATATGATGCATTGCATAATGTGATAACAGCAGAGAGCACATCATGCACCATGAACACTAGATTGAGGGCACTAACTGTTCTGACAGATTTCCATCCATCCAGAAACAGGTTGGGCCAATCACAGGCATTTATCTATCAGGGGGCGGGTTTGATACGATGACTGACATCAACAACCAAGATGGCTGCTGTTGAGTCTGCTGTCATCTTTCTGTCACTCTGTGCTGCGTCACATGATTCTCTGCTCTGACTGGCTGCAGGTCTCTGGTCTGTGGCCCTTGGAAGTCAAAGTGAACTGAGAGGTTCCAGACATATTCACAAATGTACAGTATAGTTTTTAGGGAGTTAAAGAGGCCTAGAGCTGCTCCTATTATGGACATTTTTGGTGTTCATCATTTCATTCTTGATGTCTACTAAAACAGATTTACATACTTTAATGTTAATTATTTTTCTTCTTCTGTACAATTTATATTGTACTCTATTCACCCTCTGTACTCTGTTAGAGCTCAGGGCTTCCCCTTCCTCTGTCTGAAGCTGACCAATCACAGCCCAGTGTGGTCTGATTGGTCAGCTTGCCGACTGCCATGGCAACAATACCTTTCCGCATGTCTTATTTAAACAAACAAGTTGTGGCGCTTCGGTTCTGCCTTATCGTTTTGAGCAAGAGTCTGATCGTGAACCAGGAGATGACAGACCTGATCCACCTTCACAAGCTGGACTGGAGCTGAAAACAAGCGTACCCACTGTCCCGCAGCCGGAAGGAGGGAGAAATATGAAGACGCTGGACAGTCTGCAAAGACTTGGAATGACATTATTCATAACTTGGAATACCTTTATGAAAAACCCATTACATTTTTTATGTGTGGACACTTCCGGACTAACGGAATATAAATAATGGAGGAACAGACGGACAGTGACAGGTACGGAGTCTCCACCGCTTCACCTCCTGCTGGTTTACGATGCCGGTAAATCTGAATGAATTAAACTTTAGTGCGCTTAGTTACTGAAAAATGAACTCAGAGGTTAAACTGTGGATAATTTATCTGAGCTAAAGAGGTACAAACATGTCAACACTGACAAACGTTTAAGCATTTATATCTTTGCAATGCTGCGAACTACAGAAATAACCCTGAATATGAAGCCTCTAACTGTGCGTGGTTTCTGAAGAAGTCCTCGAAGCGCGGGCTCACACTATAATGTTTGGAGCAGTGGAGGGAACTGTGGAAAAATGAAGTAGATTTTGAACACGGTGTCTTTTCATGGCTGCAAAACTAAAGAAAAGTCTTAATTATAAGTAGTTATGTGCTGTGCCTTGTGTGGGCGTGTCCAGCTTGCAGGTGGGCTGCACCAAGAAACGTACTGACGTCAATAGGACTAGGAAGTCATGTCTGGAGCCCCAACGAGGCGTTTCATACAGAAGAGAAAATTGAGTTTGAACAGAGTTACTCCCTTTGGTGTAAACTTTGATCCTTGTGACTCCACCATTTACATGCACGAAAACCTATATAACACACTATAAGGAAGGAAAATCTAGAAAGAAAAGAACTACAACTAGAAAAGCATAATAGGTCCCCTTTAATTTGCCATACCTTTGTGTGTGTGTGTGTGTGTGTGTGTGTGTGTGTGTACCTCTTGCTGTAGCTGTTTCCCCCTCAGGATGAGCCATCCTCTGCATGGCTGTGGCTGCAACACACAGAGGCATACTGAGCCTCTGTCCCAGCACAGAGACAGACAGATCCACTGAGGACACATCCCTCAACACCCGGGGGACAAGATACCACCTATACACATATATATATATACACACACACACACACACACACACACACACACACACACACACACACACGAATCTGACATCAGAATGCCTGACCACACACCTGTGTGAGCTGTAGTAACTCACACTACAGACTTCTCTGTGTGCAGCTGCGTAGCTAACATCATGTACTGATATGTCACACGTGTTCAGTCATCAACTGTCACATAGATCATTTTGGAACTTACCCACCAACAGTAAAGTCTGTATAAGTTTGTTTGAATTTGTTAAAACTAAATGATGTCATAAATAAATTGCTCTACTGATTTACTTTAAGCAACAGAATGAACAAGGTCTTGAAAAACATTATCCCATGACGCCAAACAGTCAGTTTAGTAACAACTGTGTGCCTGTGGCTCAGGATGTAGAGCGGGTCGTCCACTAATTACAAGGTCGGTGGTTTGATCCCCGGCTCCTCCAGGCTGCATGTGGAAGCATCCTTGGGCAAGATACTGAACCCCACATTGCCCTGATGGCTGTTCCATCAGTGTGTGAGTGTGATGCATGAATGTGAGTGAATGTGGCAAGTACTGTAAAGCGCTTTGAGTGGTCAGTAAGACAAGTCCATTTACCATAACTCAGGAAGGGAGCGGAGGAGAATGAGCAAATATAGAATTAAAACATAATCCTTCATTGTACTGAAACCAGTTGGCCCTAGCAACGGTCCCACGGATGCACCCCCCACACCAGTATATAAGGAAAGTTTTTTTCTTTGTTGTCTGTTGGTGATTTTTTAACATAGGATGACTGCTTGTGTAACCTGAAGCGCTCGTGGAGGCTCCTGTACTGTGCTGGACTGAACTGTTACCAGAGCAGATCAGACATTTGTTTACATGCAAGTTGCAGATAAACTTGCATTGAGTGAAACTCCCAGACTCTGTGTGCTAAAGGAGTCCTTGTCTACGGTTGTTTCTGTGGAGCCTCAAACAGTCTCAAACAGACTGGGAACCTGATTTAATTTCAGTTGTAAGAGATGCAGCTTTAAAACCTGAAGTTTGCCGAGGTCACAAATAGCACCGTGAGCATTCACAGCTCAGCAGGCCCCTGCTCTGAGTCTGTGTTACTCTGGAGCCTGAGGCTTGATGCTGGAAATGCTGTGTGTGTGTGTGTGTGTGTGTGTGTTTTACCTGTTGAAGGCAGCCACATTGTCGCCCAGTGTCTTCTGCTCATCAGCCCCTGAGCGGTAGTAGTCATATACAGCTTTAGGAAGAACTTTCCTGGCTTCCTTCTCAAAGTCCGACACACACACTCGCTGCTCCGACATGGCCGTTCACCACAACACCGAGGCCACTCACTGTCACTCTCACACACAGTGCAGAGCAGTGTAATCATTAACCGGCTGCAGGCCTCTTAGTTTTAATCAGGACTTCTGAGGGAGTCTCAGCTCGGCTCAGTTTACACAAGATAATGTTGTGTTAGACCAGAACAAACCCAGAGGATTGTGGGTATCATGGCTGTGACTCTGAACCACCTGGACCTTTATACCTGTGTGTGTTTAGACTGTGGTTAGATCATGACAAGGTGCTGGCTGCAGGTTATCTTTGACCCCTCGTGTTAAAAGGTAATTCAAGACAACAGTGTATGCAGCCTAGTGAGCTGTGTAATGATCCACTCAGGAGGGACAGAGTCAAAGCTGCTGCTGATGATTATTATTCATCTCTTTAGTGAACAGGAGAATTCCTGCCTGTGGCTGTAGGTCTTCATGTCTCCTGTGCTGTGGCAACCATAATGTGATGGAACTATGTCAGTAGACTGTGCATAAATATACATGCATTAGATTCTGTTTCCTCTAAATGGCAGTTTGTCAGTCAAGTACTTTGCTCCACAGGTGCAGATCCAAAACAAAGGTTTTTTTGTTTATGGCTTTGTACGGAAGCCCTGAGAGGCAAGTGATTTTTTTTTTCTAGAAGAAAAAGGAAAAAAAAACTTCACATTTAAAAAAAAAAACAAAACAAAACAACAAACCTAAGAAGTGTTTCTTTTTGTAATACTGATTTTGGCCACAAGAGGCTGAAGAGCACCACTTCCCCAGACTGAAAGCATTCATGTTTCCTTCTAGGTGATTTTTAATTCCTCCATTCACAATAAACACAACGTACATATAATGTGTGTGTTAGTTGTGTGACATTTCTGTTCTGTTCTTTCCTTCCTCAGAAATGGATTTGGATCTGTGAAGACTTTCAGCCAAACACTTAAGAATTCAGCTGAGAAAATATAAGGAGAATAAAAGTCCACGAGTGATAAGCTGCGATGGAAGAATGGATCACACATGACATGAATTGTTATATTTATTGATTTAGTCAACTTATTCGTTTCATTATTTTCTTTATATTTATTTCAAACTTTTCATCCAGACACCTCGAGGGCGACTTCTCCCATGGAGCTGCACGCTCTCATGTGCACCCTGAGAGATCCAGTAAAGAGACAGACTGTGACAGTAAACACTTACGGCTTGCATCTCTCTCTCTCTCTCTCTCTCTCTCTTTTAACCCCCTAGAGGCAAGTTTTTTTTCTTTATTCTGAGAAAAACAAATCACTTGCCTCTCTGGGCTCGTTATCACAGATGAAAAAAAAAAAAGAAAAAAGAAAATGTTCTTGTCAAAAAAGAAATCTCAGGGCTTCTTTACTTTTGTTCACCTCTTAAAATCTTACAACTCAAACAGTCCAAGAAAAAACTCACAGTTCACACTGAGTCCATAACCTGTGACCATCAGTCACAAGAAGACATTGATTGTATTTTAAACTAAAACTTTATCTTTAATGCCTCCTTTGAAAGCTGAAAAGATTGAAGCCCCTAACAAATTTTTATCATCTGGTAAACTGGTGAACACCGGAGAGCGGCTCTAAAGAGTCTGATCGTTAAATAAAAGTCAACTCTGCTCAGTTCCATGTTTATTTGTCATTTAACAAAATCCAATAAAAGCTTTAAGAATTAACATTTTGCACCATCACCAAAAACATAACTTCTCCCACTAAAAAGGTAAAACTAGAAAGTCAAGGTTAATAAAATGCAAGCGTCGGGGAGGGGGGGGGTGAATACATAAGGTCAGCAACAGCTCATGACAGGCAGGTGAAAAAAGAGAAGTCTACTCTACAGAAGATCGTCACAAAGCACAAGACTAAAGATGCACACTGAAGAAAAGAGTCAGACTGAGGCTCTCCCTCGTCTGAAGTGTCCCTCCGTCCAAAACTAGTCCACATGACAGGACGTCTCAGTCTGATCCACAAAGAGCCTCCTGAAACAACTCCACTGAACAACCTTTTATTAGACGTCTGACAACACTCACAGATGTTTATCAATCAAAGAACAGTTTGATTATTGATTCCACTTTAATTTCTTCTCATTTCAGGGTTCAGCTGGGTGTCAGTGTCTCCTCCACAACGCCGTCAAACCTACGTTCCCATTGTTCACGCCCATCCGTGTCACCCACTGGCCAATCAGAATCAAAGCCGTCAAGGAAAAGATTAGAGAAAAACGAGTGTGGCCGTGTAAACGCCCCGTCCACCTGAGCTTTAGCCCCGGTGAAGTCCCACCCACAGCGTGTCAGCTGTGTGCTTCAGAGGGAAGCCGCTCACTTCCTACTTCATCCTGCCCTCAGGTGGAGTTTGATTGGCTCAACAGGATGCAGTGATGTTTATGGGTACAACTTGATAGTGAGCTATGCAGGTGAGGGGGGAAGGTATCTCCAAGTCGAGGGTGAGAAGGCCTTTGCCCTCCTTCCCCCCTCCCCCATTCGGCGCCGCTTTGCTCGGTCAAACCCCAGAAAGGAAGGCGGGGCCGCAGGCCCACTAAGCGTTGTGTTGGCCCGATCGCCGATGGTTGGGGGAGTGTGGTTGCAGCGGTGCTACGAGGTCGCTGCCCCAGTTTGGGTGCCCAGGAGTTTGGGAGGGCGGACGAAGCATCCGCTTCCCATTTCCTCCCCCCAGTGTGGCCCGGTGCTGCTGTTCCGACACCCCAGACCCGCTGGACGCTGGTGAATCTCCAAGCCTTCGCTGGACCAAAGACATGAAGCAGCATAGCGTTCACACCCAGGCAGTCCAGCCCTCATACAGCTGGGCCAGGTTGTCCATGTTGGTGGCCTCCTTGATGACGAAATCCACCTGCAGCCAAACAGCAGGAAACAATTTACAGCCTGTGTCAGGTCAGCGCTGTGAGCTCTGTGACAACTGTAATGATGCTTCAGTTTTAAATCACACTGCTGCTCTTTATGACTGATGTTATGATCTGACTGATTGTTGATTAACTGACTGTTAATCTGTGATGCATCAGGGACTGTTGCTGCTGGAGGGACCAACATTTAAAGATCCAGATTCAGAGATTAGTTTAGAACATGATCATATTTTCAGTGTGTGCAGGGAAGTGTGGGGGTGAGATCCTCTGATGAAGTGCTAAAGGCTAGTGTGATTAGAATGAGTGCAAAAAATAAGACTTAGACAAAAACATATGAAATGATGATTCAAAAATAAATAAATACATTCACTGTAAAAATAATCATACAGAAACAGTTGAATCAACTCTTGTTAACTTAATGTAAACATGTTAACTTATCTCATTCATTCAACTTAGAACGTGCCATTTTAATTTTCAGACCACATCAGAATTTTAAACTGGAGTTGATCAGTTGAATTAAACAGCTGTTAGTTCACTCATTCAATGAAGTTTAGAAACAAAACTAGTATATTAACAGATTTCCCAGAATGCACTGTCACTGAACAGCCTGACATGTTTCTCTGTACTGACTGGCTTGAGCAGCTCCCACTCTTTCAGTTCTGACTCTTACATTGAAGAATAAATCCGTCTGAACTGACTGGTCATGTGACTGAACAGTCAGTTCAACTTCGTGTCTTAAGCTTATTCAACTTTTCTCAAGTTCAGTTAGTTTTACATTTTCAAAACGAATAAAGTTAAACTATAAGACTGTGTTGATTCAATTACAGAGGTCTATAGAAACTGAACTGAGACTAAAGGATTTAACTAATTTACAACTGAATTAATAGTTTATTAAAAGTTTATTTAACGAGAAATGTTTAAAAATTTTAACTAACTTTTTTACATTAAAACAAATAGTGTAGTTTATTTATTTATTCTTTTACAGTGACCAGTGCAGTAAGGGTTAAATAAGTCATTTCCAGTGCAGTAAAAATGTATGTAACTGCAGTGGACATGGACACTGTTTGGGATGAAGTGTGTGTCGTGTCACCTGCTCTGTGGCGCTCATCCTCCTGTTGGGATCGATGTCTCTGCCCTCCAGCTTGGCTTTCACTCTCTTCCACACACTGACCGCGTACGAGTTCCTCTCCTGGACGGCTGCAAACACAGAGAGGAGCAGGTTCAGAGCAGAGCGCCGACACTGCACCACCATCAACATCACTCACTCATTCATTCACTCATTCTCGCTGCTCTTCATTCAAGCGTGAATCCATTAATGCAGTACTGCCAGGTGAGCAGGAACGACTACTGGATCAGATCAGAGAGAACGGTTCTCTTCAAACAAACAGTTTGCTTTGCATTAGACACCTGTAGCTATGGTAACTGGACACGAACATGGTCGCGCCTGTAGCCTCAAAATACTTACTTAAAAATGCATGACTGAAATGAGAAACATGTCAGTGACAAACTAATAAACCTGTTTGTCTAAAACACTGCTCTGTACGTGTGTTTTTTTTAAATATCATTGAATAGAATTTTAAGGTCATGAGATGCTTAAAGTGACAGTTGGATAAATCCTGAGGGGGACACATGCACAAGGTCTGTAGTGTTTGTTATTCAGATGTATTGTGTAATAACAGGACTTCCAACCTCGGAGCAGTCAGAGGGAAGAGAGTGGAGAACCGTACCTCGTCCTGTCTTGGGGTCTCGTACGGCCCTCTTGGGGCTGGGGTTGAGGCCCTTGCTGTTCATCAGGAGAGTGCTGGGTGGAGTGTCGTTGGGGGTCCCGAGGTTACGTGGCAGACCCTTGCGTGCATTCTGGGACATCGAGTCTGGCTGGGTCTTCACCCCACTGCACCTCACAGCTGGAGTCAGAGCACATGTGATGTGGTGTGAGAAAAAACAGTTGTCTTATAAAATGTTATATTTCTCTTATCTTATGTACGAGTGGCTGTCAACAGTCAGCAGTTCCTCCACGTAGAGAACAGCTGCTGTGCTCAGCTTGAATTCAGACAGTGAAGCTTCAGTAACTAACCTAGGAAGTGGATTAGGAGCTGAAGCCCCTTTGTGTGTTCCTGTTTGTCTCCCTGTCTCTACAGGAGATGATCTGAGTGAAACCACCATGAAACTACCAGCAAATTAACCCTCTGAGACCCACATAAAGAGTTTTTTGGTTATTTCATACCTTTATGT